AAATATAACCTGTTCCAGTACAGCTAGGGCATGTTCAATCGAATTTTTAATTCCATTAAGCTATTAATAAATTTGATTAATTTATAAAAATTTATGATAAGTTCTTATTGAAATAAAATGTCTCAATTTGTATTCAATATGGAATATTATTTCAACTTAAAAATTTTGGGGATTGAAGGATAATTAATGAATTCTACGTGGAAAATTCGTTCTACTTGACTTTATGAGTCCAATCGAACTTTAAGAGTCCAATGAAAAGTTTATAAGTCCATAGGAATTTATGAGTCCAATCAAATTTTATTAGATTTTATTAAGTAATGCATTTATTAAATAATACATTAAGAATGAATAGGATTTGCTAAACCAAAGGAGCGTAGGCGAGGCGCTTGTGCAAAACCAGCGGTTCACGCAGGGTTTTACGACACGCGCCTCGCGGAGTCAACGGTCGCTGGGTTCTACAACAGCAACATAAACCTATCCATTTTCCATTTTCAGCCTCGATCTGACGACCTACCCCTGTTACAAAAATTTGATTGGACTCATAAACTGTGATTCGAATCATAAACTGCAGTAGAGCCAAAATTTTTACTTAGAATAATAAAACATGTTCTGATTTATAAAATTTGTTTGAACTCATAAATTTTGATTAGACTCATAAAGTTCAATTTGACTCATAAAGTGAAGTAGAACCAGAAAATTAAGCAATCGGATCATTTTTGTTGCAAATTCCCTTGACAAACTTATTCAACTTTTACCAAATAAACATTTTTAGTTACTACTGAATTTACATTGTGATGAATTTCAGCATCATTAGGCATTCCAGGAACAGATGCAATATATTCATTTAATGTTTGATATTGGATATGAAGTGCTTGAAGGTCTTGGATCTATAAATTGCGTGACATTTATATATCAAAGCTTCATAGTTTAATTCAGTTTTTATTTGAAGGGGTATAAAACATTTTTTAGAATTTTGGGCAGATCCTTTTTGGGATGAATTTAAGAAGTCATTTTTAATTAAAAAATAAAGCTAGGCTCATTTAAAATAAAAAAACAGTTCTGGTTATTAATTTATTTTTTTATTTTTTTTATTTTTTTATTTATTTATTTAAAATAAAATAAGCAACAAAACGGGGTGAGCCATTTACATTGTTGCACTATATATTAATCTGTATTAATTACCCTATTTATTCTACGAAATTTTATTTTTATTTTTATTTTCTATAAGTTGTTTATAAAAAATTAATGCAAATATCTTAGCCATTTCTAATATGCTTTGTTAGAGGGAAAATGCAATTGATCTTAAGTCATTTTTGAGCCAATAGGGGAGAGATTGGCACCCAAGAAGTCACGTTTGTGTGCGATAGGCATCTGATTTTTAAGAGAAATATACAAAACGCAAAAAATAAAATTAACCTGATTTTTAAGAGAAATATACAAAACGCAAAAAATAAAATTGTCTTTTTACTTTCTCTGAAAAAAAATGATTTTGTAGGTTAAAATGTAAAAACAATAGGGAAATGGAAATTTATCAGAAATTGATATAAATGTATAAAAAACACAACAAAAAAAGAGAGAAAGATTTTTCCATTTTGAAAAAATTTTTAAAAGAAAATTTTCATTTTGAAAGGTAGATTACATTATGTAAATTACATAATGTAAAATCAAAGTTAGTAAGTTTTGTGGAATTTTAAATCAAAACCAAAATGTCAGGAGTACGAAATGGTAATTAATTAGAGTATCTTAATACAAGATTTGATTTAATAGAGGTAAGAAGAGGAGGATTTGAGAGGTAAATTAAGCTTTAATAAAAGAACAGAAAACATGTAGATAGTATTATGTAGAATCGGTAATTGAAAAAAAGGCAGAAATCTATAAGGGGATTTTAGATTATAGTTAGTATTGAATAAATAAATTTTGAAGTATATATGTTAGATTTAATTAGTAGATGACCCCTTATAGATTTTGCGCAAATAGACATGTCTTAATTTCTTTTTTAAAAATGGCAAGTGAGCCATATTTTGAGATAGAACTATCTAGCTGATTCCATAGGTAAGATGACCTAAAGGAAAAGGATTTTTTATGTTGTAGTTTTGATCGTAGGGAGTTCGGAAATGTAAATCTTTTGCTTCTATATGGTACATAATATGATGATGACTTTAGACAAGTAAGATTATTGATAATCTTAAATGCCGTAGTAAGTTCGATAAATTTTCTGCGGGCTTCAAGTGTTGGAATTTGTAGGAATGACAATCTTTCTTCGTATGGTATGTGTGGTAATCTACATTTTTTTAAAACAATCCTGGTGTAATATTTTTGACATTTCTCTATTTTGTTTATGTCAGACACAAGATTAGGATTCCAAACCTCAGGAGAATATTCTAGGAGTGGTCTAATGTAACTTTTATATATATTTATCCAAGCTATTATACGTCTGGAGTTGATGTATTTAAAAAGCTGATGCATCCTAAAATAGGCATTCTTAGTGATTTTGTTGATATGATCGTTAAATTTTAATTTATTATCAATTAGTATTCCAAGATCTGAGATTGATTCAGTTTCATTTATTGTTTTATTTCCCAGTTTATATTGTTCTTTAGAGTTATTTTTACCAATATAAACAATAAATGTTTTTTCTAGGGATATTTCTAAACCCCATAAGCCGGTCCATTCTTCTATCTGTTTAATAGCATTTCGTAAATCAATTTTATCTGGTGTAGTCTTGTGAAAACAGTATATTTTCAAATCATCAGCAAATAATTTGATTTTGATCGTTTGAGGAATTTTATCTGGAAGATCATTTATATATATTAAAAAGAGCAGTGGTCCTAAAACCGATCCTTGTGGAACACCAGATAGAACTGGCCTTTCATCGGAATATGTTTCTTTAATTTTAACTTTGAATGTTCTTCCCTTGAGGAAGTTAGATATCCATTTAAGAAGTTTGCCTCGGATTCCGATTCGTTCTATTTTATACAGGAGGAGATTATGTGGAACCATATCAAAGGCTTTTTTAAAATCTATGTAAATACAATCAATATTTTTATTTTGATTGATAGCTTCAAACCAGTCATCAATGGTTGATATTAACTGGGTGGTTGTAGATCTTCCCTTGATGAACCCAAACTGGTGTTCAGAAAAAAGGGAATTAACTATCAAAAAATCTATGATTCTTTGATTAATAATTTTCTCCATAACTCTGCAGAGACAACAAGTAAGGGAAATAGGTCGATAGTTATCGGTAAAAATCTTTTCACCTTTTTTAAATATAGGTATGACAATAGATTGTTTCCAGATATTAGGTATTTCTCCAGAATCCATTGATATTCGAAATAATTCTGTGATAGTGGGTGCTATTGAAAAGTGACATTGTTTAAGAAACTTATAACTCAATTCATCAGGCGATGTGCTTTCCTTATTCGGTAAACGTTTAAGGATGTTTCTGATGTGGATGACATCAAAATCAATGTCTTCAATTATTGGAACATTTATGTTTAAATTAGGAGATATCGTATCAGTAATTGGAATGTCGTAATTATTTTTATTAAAGCATATTGAAAAATGTTCAGCAAAAATATTACTTATATTAAAATCATCATAGATATATTTCCCATTAACCATAATGATAGTAATATCATGATGGTTATCTGGGGAGAGTTTTCGTATATGTTTAAAAATATATTTTTTGTCGTTAATTAGCATTTTGTTTTCTCTACTTTCAAGTAGTTGCCTTGTTTTAGTTTTTATATGTAAAGATATGCTTTGATATGATTGTCTATATTGATCAGGACGAGATTTCATAAGCTTCCAGAGTTTTTTCCTTTCTTTTATAGATGCAATAAGAGCGGGAGGATATTGCATTTTGATCTGTTTTTGGGCTGTATGTTCAATTTTAGGTATAAGGACATCAAGATAACTTAATGTTTCGAAAATAAACTTATTATATTTTTGATCTATTGTATAAATGTTATTTAATATTTGTGGGAAGTTAGTAATAAATTTGTGATTAAAGAAGTTAACATTCTTTGGAGTATATTTTCTAATATAGTATTTCTTCTTAGTAGATTTACTAAAAGGAATGTTAAGTGAAAAAAGAATAGAACTGTGATCAGATGTAAATAGATTTTCATCAATTAAAATGTCGGAAATTAAATTTGATTTTCTACAAAATATAAGATCTAGATGGGCATTATCTCGAGTAGGACCTGGTACAAGATTAAAGAGACAGTTTTGATTAATAAACTGAACGAAAATTTCTGCAATTGAACTTTTGGGGTATGGTATATTTGAAATCCAATTTAGATCTTTTATGCCAAAATTAAAATCGCCAAGAAGGATAGAATTTTCACCTAATTTGTCATTGAGAAATTTAAATAGATTTTTTGTGTTTTGCATAGAACATTTCGGAGGTCTATAAATTAGAATAAAAGTAGTATTTTTAGCGTTTTGTACTTGGACCATTAAAATTTCGCAGCTAAATTTGGATTCACTTAATCTTATAAATGCTTTATGTTTTTTATTTAAAAGAATTAAACATCCCCCACCTCTAGTTGGTCTATTGCAAAAAAAGGAATTAAAATTTTTATTCAAAATTTCATTTGGAATAGTGTCACCCTTAAACCACGATTCTGTAATAAATATAAGATCAATTTGTTTAATTTGGGATATCAAAGCTATTTCATCTAATTTGTTATAAATGGACCTGATGTTTATAAGGACTCCCGATATTTTATTGGTATTTGATACGGGGTAAGCTTTAGAAGGATCAATCGTAGGTAATAGTGTTCCAAGTGACCCAATGTTACCATTATTATCATTAATTACTGCTAAACAACTTATAGACATTAAATAAAATTTAAGACTCTGGGTGAAGTGATCACGACTTTTTATAGTGCTAGTAATGTAAGTGCTCTCCCCGGAATAACAGTCAAAAATAAAATATGTAAAAAACAACGAATTTAAATTATCATAAAAATTCAAAAAATTTGGGTCAAAAAAGTCTAAATTTTGCGAAAATTTGGGATTTCATCCCGTTTAATAACTTTCCCAGCATAAATTATATAATCGAGACCTGTTCTCGTTCTTTCAGCTTTGCATTCTTCTTCCAGTTCTTTTTTCGCTTTAAGGCCAGCAGAGGATAAGGATTCGCGGAGTCGGACGTTTTTGAATTGCGCATGTTCTCGGAGGCGGCCACGGTTACGAATGAGCATTTGTGCGCCAATCTTCGTTGGCATTTCAATTTTCAGAAGACGTGGATAATTTGCTGATGGTCGACCCATGCGGTAAACCGCAATGGGGAGTTGTTCAACGCCAGCCTCATTCAAAATTTTAATAACGTTGTCGAGGTCATCCTTGGCTTTTGCTGTTGGTGTTGTTGCTTTGCTTTCAGGCTGACTTGCAGCAACAACGGAATGCTGCCTGCGCTCTTCATCCATTACTTCTTTAATAACCTGCTTGTGCTGATCAGCAGCGAGAATAATTCCTGCTGTTTGAATCAAGGTCCCCATTGTTGTTATAAGTTGCTTCGCCCAGTCAGGAATTGCGTTGTCGGAATTAATTTTGTTGTTGTCAAAATTAAGTTCGTTGATTGTAACCAAGAATTTTTGACGAGCTGAAGCAAGTTGATCTTCCGTCATTTTTGAGCCAATAGGGGAGAGATTGGCACCCAAGAAGTCACGTTTGTGTGCGATAGGCATCCGATTTTTAAGAGAAATATACAAAACGCAAAAAATAAAATTAACCTGATTTTTAAGAGAAATATACAAAACGCAAAAATGAGTCCAATCAATTATTATGAGTCCAATCAAATTTATTTATGAGTCCAATCAAATTTTATTAGATTTTATTAAGTAATGCATTTATTAAATAATACATTAAGAATGAATAGGATTTGCTAAACCAAAGGAGCGTAGGCGAGGCGCTTGTGCAAAACCAGCGGTTCACGCAGGGTTTTACGACACGCGCCTCGCGGAGTCAACGGTCGCTGGGTTCTACAACAGCAACATAAACCTATCCATTTTCCATTTTCAGCCTCGATCTGACGACCTACCCCTGTTACAAAAATTTGATTGGACTCATAAACTGTGATTCGAATCATAAACTGCAGTAGAGCCAAAATTTTTACTTAGAATAATAAAACATGTTCTGATTTATAAAATTTGTTTGAACTCATAAATTTTGATTAGACTCATAAAGTTCAATTTGACTCATAAAGTGAAGTAGAACCAGAAAATTAAGCAATCGGATCATTTTTGTTGCAAATTCCCTTGACAAACTTATTCAACTTTTACCAAATAAACATTTTTAGTTACTACTGAATTTACATTGTGATGAATTTCAGCATCATTAGGCATTCCAGGAACAGATGCAATATATTCATTTAATGTTTGATATTGGATATGAAGTGCTTGAAGGTCTTGGATCTATAAATTGCGTGACATTTATATATCAAAGCTTCATAGTTTAATTCAGTTTTTATTTGAAGGGGTATAAAACATTTTTTAGAATTTTGGGCAGATCCTTTTTGGGATGAATTTAAGAAGTCATTTTTAATTAAAAAATAAAGCTAGGCTCATTTAAAATAAAAAAACAGTTCTGGTTATTAATATGTTTACGGCCAAAATTTTTCGGTCTTAAGCCATAACTTTGTAATAATTTTGTTCAAAATTTATTTAATTTTTGAGATAATTAATAGCATTAATAATGATAAATTAAACCAGATCTTGATATTCTTGACGTGTTCCTCCGAAATGCTCATTTCGAAGCTTCCCGATTATATGACCAAATTGTAAATTGATCTGTAATTAAATTTTTGTATAATCGAAATTGATATGCAATGTCTTGTTAAATTGCGTAAAAATATTTTACTATGACTAATTTTCCATAAATGAAATTTGAGAATTTTAAAGCCAAACACCGGATTCTCTCATTTTGAAAGATTCAATAGAATATTTTCGGTGTCGCTTCGTGAATGTGAGAATTTTTATTTTCTGGATTTTTATTGCAAATCCAGGTTTAGGGTAATCCGACCTTTCCCTGCTACCCATTACCGTAGATAACGCATTCGACAATAAATGTTGTTCACTAAACAATAAATACCTGATGTATAATGTTAATAGCAATCAATCCTTCGAGTTCTGCAATGCTGCGTCGATTTCTTTCAGTCTATTTAAAAATTTTTATTGAAAATACTTTAAGATTTTGTTCCGAGTTATATATTCCGAGTTATTTTATTCCGATTTATTTAGTAGACTAACTCGGAATATTTTTTTACCCCAAACCCAAACTCCAAATTCAATATTATTTTACTCCAAACCCAAAATGCTTACTCCCACATATGGTTTTCCAATTTTCAGGCTTGTATCTATTCGAGCTTTTCTCTTAAAAAATGGTTAAATATTCATCTCGATATGAGGAATCGATTGGTATATATGTCGAATATAAATCTCCGGTCCCACTTACATGTCTCATGTTAGGAAAAAATGACAAATAGTCGCGTGAGGATCTATGGAAGAACCACTGGGATTTAGGTAAATTATTAAACTTTTCTCTCTGAGGATGCATAATAGTGGACACATTTATAAATTGTTTTAATAAACATACTGCAGCTTCCGTCATTGCTGGATGAGTTGAAAATTGGTTTTCAAGATTTCGAAATTCTTGTGCCTAAAAATTTTTCAGCAAACTTTTTTTAATGGAAACTAAAAAAAGATCTAGCAAAATCTTTTAATATCCGAAACCGTACCGAGAAAATCTTTGGTTAGGTTCCTAGCCAAAGTTTCTCATTCAGAACATACGTGATCGAGATATCCGAATTTTATGAATGCTATTTAAAGATTTTCCGTTACCAATTTATAAAGTATTTATAATAACAAATTTCACCAATTCTTGCCAGTCATTTATAGTATGATTCCCTTGTATAAACTCATTAAATCGAGCCGCTAAATTTTGTAGCTCTTGTTCAAGTTGATGAATTGATGGTGGCTAGAAATTTATTTGGAAATTTTTAATGTGAAAATAAAATTATTTTCACAATAAATAATAAAACCTACTGAGCTGCCGGGACGCTGATTTCACCGACTCTTTTAATAGATCTTAAACCCTCGCCTAGTGAGCGTTTTAAATGCTAGCAGCTGGGTCTTTCTCCTCCTTACAATATCTTAAATTCCAAAAAATATAGAATTTTTTAAAATGCCAGGCTTTCGATTAAAGCAAGGGTTTTTTATTTCTAGTCTGCAACTCTCTATCTGTTATGAAAGTAACCTCCACTCGTCTTCGTCTATTCCGTGTACTATTCACAACATCGAATTCATAAAAAACCACCAAAATAATTGACGCGAAAATGATTTTAATTCCAATCGAGCACATTTATGTTTTTTAATAAAGAATTTTAAAATCTGAAGAAAATTTTATCAAAACCAGCCTCAGAACGATTCGTTACTCCCTCAGTACTCAAGAAAGTACCAAATAGTTAATAGCGGAACTGCTAACAAGAATCGGTATCCTAATATAAAAAGTAAAAAACTGGTATCCTAATTAAACATTAACATTCATGTAGTTTTATTATTAAATTTGAAGCGGTTTTATTTAAAAACAAGAATGACATTTGAGAAATAAGTCTATTTAATTGACTTTTTTATTAAATAATTAATTAATTTAAGTTTATTAAATGAAGTTAAAATCGGGGAATTGCGAAAAATATAAATAAAAAAATTTTAAGGGGGGGGGGGGCGGGGGATGAAGTAAAATAGTTTATTTAAATGGTGATTGGCTGAGGGAAATGACACATGTAATAAAAGGTAAACAATTTTAAAATTTAGAGTGTCTAGTAAGAATTTAAAGAGGAGAAAGCTAAATTTAGTTGAGAAAAAATTTTTTATTGACTGATAGTGATCGGACGATTCGAATATTCGAATTTTAATATTTTTTACGAATAGCTCAATTTCGGAATTAACAGTTGTTCCTCAGCCAAAAGCTAATCATTCTAACTAATTTAAATAAAGAATTTCCTTTCCGTAGCACAACAAATTAAAACTTTTTTGCTTGGAAGACATAAAGCCCTATTAATTCAAGCCATAATTAAATAAAAGGATAAGCGTCAAAATAAAAAATAAAAACGTCAAAATATCCTTTTTTGTCACAAGGAAAATTATGAATTTCAGAAAGCTAAGACTACTAGGAATTCCTACTTTTAGCGTCACAGAGTCAAATGTTTGAAAATTTCTAAATATAAATGACACCAAAAATGTCTAAACGAAAATCGAAAGAACCGATTCTTTAAAATCGAAATTTCGAAACTGCTCTTAAAAAGCAATGATAGGATAGCTTGCAATATTATTTAGGAGAGAGGGCATGAGAGGTGAGAGATGCCAAGAGAGGAGAGGAGATGGGAAAGCCAAGAGGCCTTGGCTTACCTTAATAAATTATTTCAAAAATTTTTATAGAGAAAAATAAAAGTTAATACATAATAATAGAAAAGAATTAAATAACACTTTCAGGAGACTTGTGTTTTTCCGTTAAATATTTAATTTTTTAGATTTTTATTTCAAATTTTAACAGATAACAATTCAGCCATCTAACAATTCAGCCATCTAACAAAAACAATTCAGCCAATCAATGTTTTACGGTGATACTGATATTTTATAATTATTCGTTTAAAGAATAAATAATTTAATAAATAATTAATTTTAGGTAAAAATAATTTGCTTCACAGAATTTAAAAAATTAAAATTAATTTAACATGTGAATCTCAAACAATATTCAAACTTGTCCAAATCACATTGTTACTGATGCTTCAAAAAATAAGTTTACTCGAATACTTTATATCAAAAATTCAAGGAGAATATCTGAGATTTAGCCTTATTTTAGCTCGAACATTTATTTACATATATTCCAGTGATCTTACGACAAAGGAAATAATTACCGTAACAATAAACTTAATGTATTCCTGATTTTCAGTCAATCAAGAATGATCCCTCTTACAGATTTTCTACTATCTTTATTTCTTCGAACCTACAAAACATATGTTTCAAGAATATTATACTCGAAGGATGTTTTTATTGAAAAATTTTCTTTAAAATAAATGCTAATAGGTTTTACTAAAAGCTTAGTGTTAATTAATAAAATAAAAACTAAGAGGAAAGAATAAAGCATACTAAGAGGAAAGAAGTAGAAACTAAGAGGAAAGAATTTTATCAGAAAACAGGTTGAATGTTAACTTGTATAAATAATGATTAATGAAGAGTGTTAAGACACTTGTGTCTCTTCGAACCTAAAAACG